AATACTTGCGAAATACATAAATGCATCAAGAGTTTTGGAGAACAATGCGTCCGCCTTCTTGAAAAGTGTTACTCGAATCACTAAATTATAACTAAAAGGTTCCAAGCTAATGTCAAATTAATATAATACGATACAATGATAGATAAGTGGACTTAGTGTAACTACGAAATGTGTTCTAAGGCACAGCATAGTGATTCAGGTCTCACTTTTCAAGATGGCGGACGCTTATTATCCGAAACTCTTGATGCATGTATTGCATATTAATCGTTAAAACAAATCGCATAATTCAGTACAATTTAGCACTACTTCTGGTTCTAAACTGGTAGTGAAAGTCGATGCAATAAAAATCATTGAACAATTCTGATTGGTTGGTTAGGTTCTCTGAGAGTGGTATATACTACGCACCTCCTGAGGGTAAATACGAGGACTACATTGAGTACATACGTAGCCTGCCATTAATACCCAACCCTGAGGTATTTGGACTCCACGAGAATGCTGATATTACCAAAGACCAGAAGGAAACACAGGAGGTATGGTGACTTTTATCATTTTTGTGAAAAATCTTATTATTTGATATGAACCACATAAATCCTTTGTTGTGAAATAAAGAACTAGAGCGGATTTCGTATGACTGTGCAAAAAACACAGTACGTTCGTGCTGTGTCCGTACCGTGCCGTAGCCGCGATGCATTGAAAAATCTTTATTTTCATTTGAAATCCTAGAAGGCGAGGTTCCGTGACCGTGCCGTGCCGTGTCCGTGTTGTGATCCGTGCTTTTGCACAGTCATACGAAATCCGCTCTATGCTGTCGCCGGCACATTGTWTTTTTTTATTACCGTCCARCATGGCGGCTTCTACCAATTCGTCCCTAGGCCCTAACGAAGGGATAAGGGGCTCGGGGTTAGATTGGCTGTGACATTACGTGCAAACGGGGAGTTCCTCATCATTATGCGGGATAAGAATCACATAAATCTGTTGTTGTTGTAGTTTCTGTAGTCACTGGTGCTGCTGAATTTATTAATTTTAAATCCAACTTTATATTGCTGCTGAATTTATTAATTTTAAATCCAACTTTATATTGATTGTGGCGAGAGAAAATGTGTCCTCACCCCAGTCTACCTCAGCCCCTGGGTTCCCGAAGATGACCATTTTTATTCCTCTGTAGCTTTTCGATTCCATTCTACTAACCCTACCACGTCAAACCGGCGGTGGAGGCAAGTCATCTGCTGAAATGATCGAAGAACTCGCTACTGACATCCTGTCCAAGTTCCCTCCWTCGTTTGATATTGAGATGGTTATGGAGAAGTATCCGGTGATTTATAACGAATCAATGAATACAGTGTTACGACAAGAATTGATCAGATTCAATAGATTAACGACTGTTGTAAGAAGCACGCTGGTGAACCTACGGAAGGCCGTCAAGGTACGTTTCTTTGAGTTCATTGGTCATGCTTTTTTTGACCACTACAATGAATTCACTTAGCTTTTCATTCTTTATTTCTTTTTCCCTTTTTTCATTCCTCTTTTTCGTTTTGCATTGGCTCACAATACTCCATTTTCGAATTCAAAGCGAATTACCGCTCTTTTATTTGACATAGCATATTCTCTAACGGAAAGAACGCATACCTTAGGTCTTATTGGAATACAGGGTTAGTCTCAACTCGGGGAAAGTGTAAATTTCAGATTAAAAAACAGCAGTTTTTCGCTATGAATTCTAAACTGGAGTATTCTCTCTCCTTTTTTTATTTATTTTTTATTGTTTTCTTTTTTCTTCCGTTTCTTTTTGCCTTTTATTTACTCTGTTTCTTTTCGTTTTTTTTCTTCGTCTATCTACCTTCCAGTTAATAATCTAATTTTTGTCTTGTTTCAGGGTCTTGTCGTAATGTCTGGTGAACTTGAGGACGTGTTTAATAATATGATGGTTGGTAAGGTACCAGCGGTCTGGGCAGCCAAGTCTTATCCATCTCTAAAGCCATTAGGCAGTTATGTAACGGACTTACTTGAACGGTATGTTAAAATCAATTATACGAAATATTCCTCTTTTTTGAAATATTCCTCATCTTAATTAAAGTGCATCAGTGAAAAATGAAAAAATGATATTTTTAATAAAATTTTCAAGTCTGTCAGAAAAGTCATATATAATGATATTAATTTAATTATTCATTTACTTTCGATTCAATTATAGTATCAACAATTTCAAATTATAATTATAAATGAAATATTTTTGCAATTTTCAACTCGAATATGTTGAAACAAATCCCTGATCACTATATGATAAGAGATACAAAACTAATAATTCATTTTTTTACGAACATATATTTTTCATGTTTTAATTCCAAAGATCTCTCTTTCAGACTCAAGTTTTTCCAAGACTGGGTTGA